TTTTTAGCTCATGCTGATACAGTCAGTTATGCCTTGTGTGACTTCTGTGTGCTTTGCCCTAGAACAAGCTGAGAAATGCACGACAATGAATTATTGTCCCCCGTGTACAGAAAAGAAGACAGAGGCTCAGAGACATTCAACTTGCCCAAGGTCACCCAGCTCGTAAATGATGAAGGAGGGGTTTTAACAGGTCTGAAGGATCCCCCATATCACTAGGCCTTCTGCTGCTGGGACAGGATGTATAATCTAATGAGGGATAAAAATGCCTTCTCCAAGTTGCCCAAACGCTGTTGGTAAGAAACACTAGACCCTTGGTTGACTGTCCATTGAGTTCATACACTGTACCTGCCAATATCTAAAACAAAACAACTTAGTGTAAAACTCATTAACCCAATGCATTTGTCATAAAGAGTTATTCGGGTTTTGTTTTGCACGTGTCTATGTTTTAGGAAGATCTTTGGGGTTATTTTATTGAGTCACTCTGTTAGACATATTGTATGAGATACTCAGGGCCCCTAGTCAGAGCAGGAAGCTTTCGATAAAAGTAATCAGGAGGGTTGGTTCCAGTCTTGCTCTTCAGATGTTGATTAAGTTTCACACTTACATATGAATTCTTTCTGTGTGTTGCATTAGGAAGGTTGACTCGGAGTCAAACAAAAACTTCCCAGGGCTCTGGTTGTCTTCTCAGAATGCTCAGCGCTGTGAATGACCCTGGACTTGGACTCCGTCCCAGAGCACCCAAAACTCGGCACCACACCATGCATGGAGGGAGGGCTCCTCTCTCCCCACCTGGCCCACCTGGCCCTACCTCCCCCAGCTGGGCAGAGCCTCCTCTTCTGACCTGCTGGGAGCACAATTCACACCTACGAAAAAGGCATTTTCCCTTCTGTTGCTGATTTCCTCCTTTGTAAAAAGGAGAGCCAGAGCCAGAGCATGCCTCTTCTCTCCTCTGGCCCCTGCGGTGGCAGAAGTCAGGCCTGGCGAGTCTGCCGAGCCTGCCGCTGGTCCCACTGGGGCTGGGTCCCTGTCCCCCGGCCCTGCCTGCTGAGCATATCAAGGCCAAAGCACACTGGAGAGTTCTCCCTCGGGTCTCTCCTCAGGAGCTGCCAAGTGTCATCGATTAAGACAAAAAAGAATAGTAAAGGTGGTCAGAGGATTTAGGTGCAGCTCTTATTACCGGCTCTGTCTCCATTGTGCATGAGCCATGCAGCCATCTCCCTCCCGAGGGATTCCAGCCAAACGCCGACCGCGCGCGCGTCCTATCGGGCCACAAACCCCGGCCAGCCGTGAGCACCTCCCGTGCAAAGCGGCTCCACCAGCCCTGGGGTCTCACCCCGGAGCGGCCGCCAGTTCTTGAGTCAGGGCTTGGACAGCTCCAAGACTCTCCTGCTCCAGGCTCCTGGACGCTCCCACACCTCAGCCCCGCAGACCACAACTGGCTTCCTCCTATCCCCACGTGTTCTCTTAGATCTCAAAGGGAAAACTAAAATATGGCAGGTAGATCTGGAGGCCGTTCCTGGGCGACTGTCCCCTTCTCCAGAGCCACAAAGCAGACAGGCAGGTGAACCGCAGGTGATGAGACCCTGTGACCCTGAGGGGTTTTGGAGCAGACCCTCTACGTTCCCTGCATTACATATGCTGGGGGATGGTACCCCAGCCAGAAGCCAGGCCTTCAGCCCCCACCCAGACTCTAAGTCTTGACGTTCAAATCCATCCCTGTCCTCTACCCTCCCCCGGGGCCTCCGGTCTCTGTTGTTTTTCATGTGGTCCACCTTCCTCTCTCCAGCCCCTACCACAGTGGCCTTTCAGGAACCCAAACTGGATCACAGTGCTCACCTGCTAAGAGCTGGACAGCAAAAGCCTTTGAGATAGGTTCTGTCCTTACCAGGAGCGGCCTTGGCCGTGAACCCAGCCCTGTCTGTGGATCCAGTCTTATCTAGGCCGCTCCCCAGCAATCCCTGCACTCCAGCCCGCCACACATCTTGTCCTTTGTTACCAGAACATGCCATGCCCTCACAGCCTCTCCACCTTTGCACCTGCCGTTCTGTCTGCCCATCCTTCCAGCAAATTCCTGCTCATCCTTCAAGGCGCAGCTCAAAGGTCTACTCCTGCATGAAGCCCTCTCTAACCCACCTGTCTTAGCTCAGGCTGCCATCACCAACTACCACAGGCAGGGGGGCTTAAACAACGGACGTTAATTTTCTCACAGTTCTGGAGGCTGGAAGTCTGGGATCAGGGCGCCAGCGTGGTCAGGTTCTGGTGGGAGCTCTCTTCCTGGCTTACACACTCTGCCTTCTCTCTGGCCTCACATGGCAGAGGGAGGAAGGGAGGCAGTGGGGGACAGAGAGGGAGAGAGAAATACCTCGTTCTTTTCCTCTTCTTATAAGGCCATGACTCCTATCAGATTAGGACCCCAACCTTATGACCTCCTAAAAACCACATCTCAGAATACAGTCATACTGTATGAATGAATTTGGGGGGCCACAGTTTAGCCCAGGGTACCTCCCCAGACAAATGTGGTTGCTGCCTCCTCTCAGAGCCCCATATTCACCAGGGGAGGGCGTCCCTTTCTTAGAGCACCCCTATTCCTCAACCCCATTTGTGTCTCCTGAACTGAAGGACCAAGTGCTCTCTGCCCCGTCCCATCCCCTGCTCTTTTGGGGTCACCCCTCTGTGGGAAGGCCACTGTCTTCTAGCAGACTTTGTGTGCTGACCTGTTCGTCTCCCCGCCCTCCGCCCCCCGTGCCCAGAGCTCTGAGAGGGCAAGGCCCCCTCTCATCTGTGGGCATTGAGCCGGTCTCATGGGGAGAATTCTAGTTCCACTGTGGGAGGACCCGGGGCTGCTGGGTGTGGGCCCCACTTGTGCCTCTGCCCACCCCCACCCCCACACTCCCTTGTTATGGAAGCCTTATTCCTCCCCAGCCCCAGAGCCTCTACAGTGTCCTCCCAGCCTAAGAGGAGACATTCTTGCTGCCTGTCCTGGCAACAGCAGCCGTGGGGGGGGGGGGGCAGACCAGGTGTGCATGTGAGGCACGGGACACCTTCAGGACCCTCTGCTTTCTTAATACCCTGCCACGGGCCGTTAGTTTTTGCATCACAGGAAAAAAAATGAAAATTCCACTGAGCGTTTATGGGTTTCCCTCCAGGTCCCCACGGGGGCATGGTGCAGAAATGGGTCCTGCCTCTGGCCCAGAGAGCGGCTCTGGGCGCACAAAGGTTATTTATTTAATATATTTACTTTTACTCCCAGGCCAAAAGCTTAAAATATCTCGCGTATGAGCTCTGGACCAATAATAATAATAATAATAATAATAATAATAATAAAGACGCAGTTGGGCCATTAATCATTGAGAATATGTTGAATAGGAACTTGATTAAAGCACAGTATGTGTTCCCCAGACGAAGTTGCTTCTTTACAGTGACCACAGTGGAAGCCTGGCCTCCCGGGGCCGGCTGTGCCTTTGCTGGGCGCCTCCTCGAGGGCTCCCGGGCGGGCTCTGGCGCCTTGCCAGGCTTGGGAAGGCCGCGGGCCGGGAGGGGGTCTTGACCTGCGCAGCCCGGCTTTTCTCAAGCAGGCACACCTCCCACCGGCACCCAGGCGGTGTCGGGCTTCAGCGCACAAAGTCGTAAGGGGCGGTGGGGACGACCTGCGGTCCCGGGAGGCCCCACGGGAGCCGGCGGCGGCCCCCTGCCCCCACCCGCGATCCCGGGAATAGAACCGCGAGGCGCCACGTGCCTGGGGAGACGCGCTGCCTGAAACCCCTTCCCCCGGCGGCAGTGAATGCGGAGGCGGCGGCCAGGGGGCACCCGGGCCTGGCCACCTTGTTCCCCAAGATCCCGGGAACCAAGCGCGCTTCGAACCATCGGCAGAGTTCTCCCAGTAGGTGCTCGGATTCTGGGACGCCCCGGCTCCCTTGGCAACCCCGTTCCTACCAGAATGGGCGGGGAGTGGGGGGAGACAGTGGATCCTGGTCCGGTTGACTGCCAACCCCGCTTTGGGATCGCCGTCCCGAGTCAAGTTCGCCCCCTCCCTCTATGCGCCCCACCTCGCCCCGGTACCCCAGCCCTGGAATCCAGCTGGGCCCGTCCCGCAGGAAAGAATTGGCGGCCCAGGGCCGGATAGCAGCGCCAGCCCCGCGCGCCTAGCAACCCTAGCGCCACGGCTAGGAGAAGTAATCAAAAAGAAAAAGTTTTCCAGCCCAAGCGGACTGACCGGCAGGGTGCTCCAGGCTCCCCGGCCTCAGCCGCCTCCCATTCCCTCCGCTCCTCGCGGGGTCCTAGCGCCCGGCGGTGCGGAGCCCGTGGGACCCCAAAGGACTGTGAGAGGCGGAGCGGGGGAGAGGTACTTCTGCGAGGAATCGGTGGGGTCGCCTGGAGATCAGAGATAAAGACGCAAAATCACCGCGCTCCAGGACGCTTCCCTCGGCCTCTCCGTGCAGCTGTGTGCGCTGGGCCACACGTCCCAAACTGTTCCCTGCCTCCCACCCCCGGCTCCGGCCCCTTCTCCACGCCGCCGCCTAGCAGAGACGCGGCTCCCGAACAGGACTAGTTCTAGCTTTTAAAGCGAGTCCGCGCCGCAGTAGCTCAGAGACCAAGACTGGCCCTCCACCAGCCTCCCGCCACCTCGCCCCCTCCCGGCCCCGCCCCGCCCCGCGCAGCGTCTGGGTGCTCCCGGACTCCCCGACCGTTGGCTGGAAGTGGGTGCCTCGGGGAAGCTAGAGGAGGGGGCCCAGTCACCGACCACGTGTGTGCGGGGGCGACAGCTCGGCCCAGGATGGGGCATCGCGCGCGCGTCCGGGTCCCGCTGGCGGGGCAGGGGATTAGTGGGCGTTGCGCCGGGGCCTCCCGGCCCGCGCCGCACTCCTGCCCCACTCACCACCCCCTCCGGGAGGCAGGCGCTAAGACCCAGGAGGCGCCGCTCCGCCGTCGGACTCTAAAGGGCGACGCCCCCGGTATAAATGCGGGGCCCGCGCGGGCCTGGCCATTCGCGACCGGGAGCTGCGCGGGCGCGAAGGAGTCGGGGCTCCGGGTGGGCGGTGGAAGCATTGGCGCCCCGCGCAGGCTGGAGGCCGCCGAGGCTCGCCATGCCGGGAGGACTGTAGCTCCCCCATGGAGTCGGCCGACTTCTACGAGGCGGAGCCGCGGCCCCCGATGAGCAGCCACCTCCAGAGTCCCCCGCACGCGCCCAGCAGCGCCGCCTTCGGCTTTCCCCGGGGCGCGGGCTCCGCGCAACCCCCCGCCCCACCTGCCGCCCCGGAGCCGCTGGGCGGCATCTGCGAACACGAGACGTCCATCGACATCAGCGCCTACATCGACCCGGCCGCCTTCAACGACGAGTTCCTGGCCGACCTGTTCCAGCACAGCCGGCAGCAGGAGAAGGCCAAGGCGGCTGCGGCCCCCGCAGGAGCCGGCGGCGGCGACTTTGACTACACGGGCGCCCCCGGGGGCCCCGGCGGCGCCGTGATGCCCGGAGGGGCGCACGGGCCCCCTCCTGGCTACGGCTGCGCGGCGGCCGGCTACCTGGACGGCAGGCTGGAGCCTCTGTACGAGCGCGTCGGGGCGCCGGCGCTGCGGCCGCTGGTGATCAAGCAGGAGCCGCGCGAGGAGGACGAGGCGAAGCAGCTGGCGCTGGCCGGCCTCTTCCCCTACCAGCCGCCGCCGCCGCCGCCCCCGCCGCACCCGCACCCGCACCCGCCGCCCGCGCACCTGGCCGCCCCGCACCTGCAGTTCCAGATCGCGCACTGCGGCCAGACCACCATGCACCTGCAGCCCGGCCACCCCACGCCGCCGCCCACGCCCGTGCCCAGCCCTCACGCAGCGCCGGCTCTCGGCCCCGCTGGCTTGCCAGGCCCTGGCGGCGCGCTCAAGGGGCTAGCCGCTGCGCACCCCGACCTCCGCGCGGGCGGCGGCGGCGCGGGCAAAGTCAAGAAGTCGGTGGACAAGAACAGCAACGAGTACCGGGTGCGGCGCGAGCGCAACAACATCGCCGTGCGCAAGAGCCGGGACAAGGCCAAGCAGCGCAACGTGGAGACACAGCAGAAGGTGCTGGAGCTGACCAGTGACAATGACCGCCTGCGCAAGCGGGTGGAACAGCTGAGCCGCGAACTGGACACGCTGCGGGGTATCTTCCGCCAGCTGCCCGAGAGCTCCCTGGTCAAGGCCATGGGCAACTGCGCGTGAGGCGCAGGGCGGCGGGACCGCCCTGGGCCGGCCGCCGGCTGCGACCCAGGGAGTGGTTTCGGGTCTCCGGATCTCAAGACTGGCCCAGCGGCGCAAGCCGGGACTAGGAGATTCCGGTGCCGCCAGAAAGCCTGGCCTGCCGCGCGTGCCCCTTGCCTTCCTCTGCGCCAGATTCGGTGCGTTTAAGATGAGGGATCAGGCGATGGTTTCTCCCTGCAGGAGAGAAGTGCCGTGGGGCTGAGCCGGGAGTCCTGGCAACTCTAGTATTAAGGAATAACCTTGTGCCTTGGAAACGCAAACTCACCGCTCCGATTCCTACCGAGTAGGGGGAGCAAATATGTGCCTTGTCATTTTATCTGGAGGGTTCCTGCCTCATTCCTGAGGCTGCAGGCTCCCAGGAGAGAAGGCAATGTGCAGGCCCATGGCAGGAGGAAGGTTCAGGGAGCAGAGATCCCGACAAGCCAGCCTTAGCCGCTCCTCCATCGCCTGTCCTTGGAAGGGAGGAAATACAGGGACTTGGAAGGTTGTTCCCCCAGTTCTACACGAAGGTGGAGGGTCCCTAGTTCCTTGCCTCTAATCTCCCAGCCTGCAACAGGCTGGGCTTCCCTGGGCAGAACTTACTTAGATGGGGGTCACCAGGTGACCGGTGGGAGCCCCCTGCCCCCAGTCAGACCAGAAAGCTAGGACATGGGTTAGCTCTCCGGACATGTGTTCATGGGAGTGGCGGCCTGGTGGCGCAGGGAAACCTAGAGCTCTGGGCGGGGGTGGGGGTGGGGGGGGTGAAGGGACCCTGGGACCATCAGCCTTGTACTGTATGTTGCCAGCATTGCCATACAAACATGAAGCACAATCTGTCCATCCCAGAGGGACCGAAGTTATGAGAAGCTTTCCAAATATTTTGCTTTATCAGCCGATATCAACACTTGTATCTGGCCTCTCTGTGTCCCAGCGGTGCCTTGTGCAATGTGAATGCGCACGTCTATGTTAAACCACCATTTTATTTGGTTTTTGTTTTGTTTTGGTTTTGCTCAGATACTTGCCAAAATGAGACTCTTTGTCAGCAGCTGCAGGGAGGGTCTGCGGCTCTCTTTCCTTTTGGTTTTTGGGGATTGCTTTTGCTCCCAGGGGAACCAAAGAGGTGAGGTGGGCTTCCTCTTTCCCTGGGGGGGGGGGGCTGGGGGGGCTGTGGGCCTCGGTGCCCTCCGGCCTGGGCCGCCCGCAGGCCTGTCCCCCCAGAGGCCCTGGCTCCTGGTCTGGAAGGGAGGCGGCCTCCAGCCAGCATGCACAGATCGCTGGGGCTGGGAGCAGGGAAGGACAGCTTGGTTCTCTCCTTTGGGGAGAACGTAGAGTTTCATGCTAGATGTTTTATGTATTATATCTATAATATAAACATATCAAAGTAAATTTTGGTGTCTTTTTAAAACCAGAAAAGCTACTTCCAGTGTTTTCTGTGGGCCAGGTCACATTTGTAAATAATCACTGCGTATTCTCTGGCTGAGATCCCGACTTTCATTAGCTCTCCCATCCTGAGCCCCTCTTTACATTAAGGGGGTGACTTCTCCCAACCAAGGCAAATAAATGGCAGAAGGAGGGCAGGCTCCAAGCTGAGAAAGCCCAAAGCCTGAAGAGAGAGTCTCCCGGGGGGCGAGTTTGAGGGGGGTTCACAGGGCCTTGGTGTGGCCTCTCCTGGGCCCCTGGGAGGAACAGAGCGACTCAGGGAAGGACACCTCTGCCTGACCTTGCCACAGGCTCTCTGGGACTTGAACAGGCCTGGCTGGTGGCTCCAGGCTCCGGGGGTCCTTCGGCCACGTTTGCTTCTAGATCACTCACAACTCTAGCTCTGTGGCAGCCTTGCTCATACCCGTCCTGCCTTCCCCACCAGCAGGACCCTGGGAGGGCAGGGAGAGGCCTCAAGCAGGAGGCCCCTTGGCCCCTCCCCACTTGCTCTGGGTTGTGTGGCTGTAGCCTACCCCAGCAGGGCCCCCAAGGGCAGCCTGAAGGCAGAGCACCCCTCCACCCCACCTTCCATACCTGCCCTGCCCCAGCCAACCAGCCGGAAGGGGACCCGCAGTGAGTGTGTGGTCCTTCACCCACACCACCTGGCAAAGAGCCAGCACCAGCACACACACTCCCCACTGTGCCCACCCTGGACCGCGTCCCCCACTCAGACGACTGCCCTAGGAGGACAGGCACCCCGGCGCCCCCTTAGCCGCAGTGATAGCCAACCAGAGGGGCCCACACTCACGCCTGATAGAACCAGGCCTGGCAGGAAGTAGCACAGGAGGCTGGCTGGGCTTTCAGAGTTGACTCTCGCTGAGGGTAAAAGGCAGACACTCTTCGCCTTCTATTTTCACCCCCGGAGAATTCACTGGAGCAGCTTACCGTGTATGCCAATGTGGGCTGGGACAGCTTCAAGAAATTACACACAACCCTTCGACCCTGAAAGCTTTAGTTTTACCTGCCCAGTGTGGTTAACAGGGGTGCCTTGCCCCCCTTCCCACCCCGGCCCCCGCCCCCTCTGTCCTGTGTCTTGCCGCCTCCCTGCCCATGGCCGCTCTTGGCCGAGGAAAGGCCATGAGCCCAGTGTGGAGGCGGCTGCCTGCCCCACCACCCTGGGAACCAAAGAGGCAGAGCCCCACCGCCTGCCTAAGGCCTAGGGCAGGCCACAGCTTGCTAGGCCCCAGCAAACCCTCTCTGAGTTCAGTGCTAATTCCAGTTTTTCTTGTTTGAGGGGGCCAAACCTCAGCCTCCCCCTTTGCCCCCAGAACAGATCCCAGGGTGAGCAGGGGAGGGCCTCCCCTCCTGCCTGCCCTCCTCCCTCTCCCCTCCCACTGCCTCATCTCCCGGGTTTCCTCTTGCAAAGCTGTCAGCCTACTAAGGGGCACCCCTCCTACTATAGACCCTGAGGTCCAAGGCAGACTTTGTTGGGGACAAGACAGATCCGACCAAAGCCAACCCTAGGGAAGGTATAGGGCCAGTGGGGGCCCCCAGGGGACAGAGCAATCGGCCAAGGGGAGGGGGCAGTGTGGAGCGAACCGACCCGGCATGTGCTCTGTGCCTGGCCAGAGGGGCCCCCGGGGAAGAGCTGCTCCTTGCCACCCACTGCTTCCTGCAGGGCCCCCATGGTTCCCCTCCTGACTGCAGCCTTTGTGAAGAACCACTCCAAGAGCCTGGCACTGAACACACCCCAAGTATTTATTGGATGCCTACTGGGTGCCGGGGCCTGTGCCAAGGATGGGTCACTCAGCTGGAGACAAACAGACTTGGCTCCTACTCTCCGGAGCTCACAGTCTTGTGGTCCCAAGATGTATTTTAAGGGTGACAAGTGCAATAAAGGGAAGCTCAAAGTGTGTATACACGCCACCAGGGAAGGCTTCCTGGAGGCAGCGGTCTGATCCAAGACCTGGTCATGGACCCAGTCCAACATGCCTGGATGCCTCTGCCTTGTACTCTCTCAGGAGAGGTAGCAGGGACCTCACCCCCTCGGTGGCCCACCTGAGCCTGGTGGCCCCTGAGATCAGTGCTGTTCAGAGGAGCCAGCCTCCAGGGAAGAAGCAAAGGTGAAACGGAGAGAGGGAAGTTCTCCTTTGCTGCCAGATGCCGCCTGATGGTTTAGCACTGTCACGGATGTCACCCTTATCTCCTGGATCTCCTGGGAATTTGTGAACGTGGGGTTTGGCCCTGACACCTGTGATGAGCCACTGGGACTAGTGAGGAGTGTCTGCCCCTCCCAGGTCTCCCGCCCCCTCCTTCCCAGGCAGGAACCTGCCAGGCCTCCTCCAGAAGCTGCTGATTTCATGGGAGGAGAGGGGGCAGTGGGGGAGAGAAAGGGAAGCCGGTCAAGGGAGAGCAGAAACCCTGACCTTGCTCATCCATGAGGCCTGTCCTTCCAGGCACCCACGGCCCTTCTGCAGACACGGGGTAGGGTCCTTGCCTGGACGGTGGCTCTGTCCCATCTGTTTATTTCCTATACTGGTGGGTGGGGAAGGCCTTTCTCGTCTTTTCCTTAAATAGAATTAAACCACCAGCACCTTTGAAAGATCTTTCTTGTCTCTGTGAAAGATGATACTATCACTCTTCTCTTGATGCCCCCCCCACTTCTCCCCTCCCCCAGCCCCTCTCTGTGCATGGAGCATTTGACGTAAGCAGAGACATAGGAAAGATACCAATTCACTATCAAAGCATCCTAGCCCCATCCCAGAGCAATTAAAAAGCCAGATGGAATCTCTGGGAAAACGGCATTAATAACGCGAACAATCTGTGCAGGCCGGCAGGGACCCAGGAGCTGCAGGCGGGGGCAGGGGGGAGGCTGGGATGCAGGAGCGTGAGCTCGCACCAATGCTTCAGCCACGCTGTGGCCAGCCCAGGATGGGGCCATCTCAGGGGGATGCCTAGATCTGGCTATAGCTGGGCTCTCCCTGCCAGCCCCCTGCAAGGCCCGCTGTGCATCCTGAATCCCGGTCGCTGCAGATGGAGCCAGACAAATGTGGAACCCATTACTCATGCAGCCACAGCCTCAGCCAGCCCCATTCTGGCACCCAAGAGCTTTGCTTCCCTTCACTTTTGTTTTTATTTATTATTTTTCTAGCCTTCTGGCCCCACCCACTAGGAACAGGACTCCCCACGCGATAGCTTCCAAACATCCCCTTTCTCTTCCTTCGCCGTGCCCAAGCCCACCGCCTTGCTGGGGAACAGCAGAAGATGGTGTTGGCACCCCATGGGGCCTGAACCCTAGAGGTCCCCCATTGACTGCAGAGTGGGTGGGCACTCAGAGCAAGGAGATCAGCTGGGCTCTCAGAAGCAGACATGATTGCTAGGGGAGCAGGGCACGGGGGTTCACACTGCCTGGCTGCCCCTCAGGGGCCCCCAGGGGCTGGACAAAGACTACAGAAAAAGGATCTGCTATTGCTCTGAAGCCCTCTCTAGGCAGAGCCAAGAAGTAGGACCCTTTTATTTTTCTTTAGGGAATGGAAGTAGTCCTGTTTTGTTTTGTTTTGTTTTGTTTTGTTTTGTTTTGTTTTGTTTTATTTTATTTTGTTTTATTTTATTTTATTTTATTTTATTTTATTTTATTTTATTTTATTTTATTTTATTTT